CATAAGAAAATGGGATCTCGGTTGCCTTTAAACCATATAATAACGAGTTCATATGTGTCACAAAAGTATATCAGAACAAAGGCCATTCAAAAGTATCCCCACAGTCTTATAACAAAAAACAGAGGATCTTGGTTATCTTGATGGCGTATTCATACATGTCAAAATCCATAACAACGTATAAGCCATCCAGAATAACCTCAAAATTCATATATCTCATCATATGCCTCAAAACCAAAAACACCTGCAAGAAAAAATAAATTATATTAAACCCACATTGCTTAGGAGGTCATCTACGTAGGAAAAAATACATGTAGAAAGAAAGAAAAAATAATTTGCACCAAATTGAGATTTCACATGAAAAAAATTGCATAAAACGTCATTACAATAAACATTAATTATTTTTATAACATATAATACATAAATAAAGAAAAAATAGCATACAACATCATTTTATGTATTAAATATTACATTTGTAATTTGATCTCTGAACTCCATATCTATCCAACACTTTACTCGTCATATGTAGATTACTCGTGTAAATCACATTTAGTTTGTGATATTGACCGCTCTAGGCGATATTCATATGCTTCAGTAGAGATATATGATTGATATTTATCTACACTATCGAAATCAATATCACTACGTGTAGGATGTCGACGAATGTAATCGTGGATAGTCATTGTAGTGACAACAATTTTAACTTGTTTGTTGAAATGAATGTGGGTATATCTCGTAGAATAACTATTTTTTTTATTTTCTCAATAATACCACGTAAGGATGAGTGCCCCTTGTTAAACATTTTTCTGCCTCAAGCCATGTTATTGGCTCTTTCAAAATAAAAAAAAAAGAGATATTTTGTATTCGGAAAGTGTTTGAAATTCTCTCTTTGTAATGGATATACATTGTCAATCAAATAATATTTTTTTGTTATAAGTATAATAATTAGTATTGCACTAAAATAATTATTTCATTTATTCATATTCAAGCAAACGTTAAGATGACTTTGGAAAGTTGTATAGATCATTTCGCGCAGCAAACTTGAATTTGCTACTATTATATATGTTGTCTTCCTATCCAGTCATTACAAAGGTGAAACACATACTGAAATCTCATATAAGCATAACATTTTGTGTTAGCAAACCACAACGTTCAATGCATGCAATCTATTCACTCGGGATACACATGCATCCACATGAGTTATATTAATTGTTTTAACACAGTCCCAAGTCAATGATGTAAGATATTAGAGTTATTGTGCTTAAGTAAAATTTGGAAAACATGAACGTAGAAATTTATATTAATATATGACATATAACATTGATCTTATGAAATCTTTATAGGGGTGCTTTGGAATGTAGGGTCTTTAAATTTGATAACCTTTGAAGATAAGCTGATTAGAGCATTCAAACCAACTAAAAATATCTACCAATTATTTTTTGTAAGTTTGGAATCGCTCCATGACTTCTCTCATAGACTCATTTTGTGATGAAATATAAAGTGTTATAGCAAACACATTCTTAAAGTCATTCTGGATGAGCAATGGAGTCTATGATTTCTGTGAAGTTCTTCAAATAGATCGATAAACATGAACTGTGTCATAAGAAACATGTTTAATCTTATTCGATGATCCACAAGCAACTCTCTAACCCCATCGGTCACCAATGTACGTGAATGCCATGCAAGGGGTGCGAGCAATATATGAGTTCTCATACTCATATATTAAACATAATGCAACTGTGCATTTTCTTTTGCGACTTTCTCTATCCATTTTATTCATTATTGATGTTGCTAACACATAGAAGTAACACTTATGAATCATCAAGTAATACATTAAATAAAAACCATGACAATAAAAAGCCCAGAAATAATGAAAGATTGTAGTTCTCATACATCAAAAATAATATGTCCTGCACTTATATCAATCAAACATAAATAAGTCCAAAAATAACATAAGAGTCATACGTCCTAATTTTCATAAAAGTAACGTAAATAATTAACTCTACGAGCAGTTATCATTGACATAAAGAATTATATCCTAATTGATTCTTCTAGCAACTTCGCTAGAAACAAGTAAAATGGTAGGTCTTCATAAATTTTTGGAGTTTCTTTCAGTATTCTCATAACTTGCTGAAAAGAAATTGCATGTGATATGCTAAACTTATTGGTGCAAGAAACAACTAATTGTGAAATCTTAGTTCTTATGAAAACTACACCATACTTTTTCTTTTTCTAAGCTCTAGTATGTTTGGAATAATTAGTAGATCCAACTTCATTTTGTTTGGGATTGGACCATTCATTTGAGTCAGTTGTTTGCTCAGCATCTACATGCTCAGCTCTGTTGTCGTACACTCTCGCTTGGTGCGCATGCACGATCACCTGTGACCATGACTCCACCAAATATTAGGTCAAACTTTTTTTCAAGCTCAGGGTCAATGCCACTAAACTTGAACTTCTTGGCAGTTGGCATGACCTATAAATTAATTGATAGTTGATATGTTGATATAATTGAGACAACATAAAAAAATAATAGAAAATATTAAATGTTCATTAATTTTTTTTCTCCAATCTCTCAACCCACCGTTCTTCTGAAGCATTAATGGTTCGTTTCGCTTTAACTCTTTTTTTAAATTAATTGATAGTTGATATGTTGATATAATTGATACAGCATAAAAAAATAATAGAAAATATTGAATGTTCATTAAATTTTTATCTCCAATCTCTCATCCCACCATTCTTTTGAAGCATTAATGGTTTGTTTTATAGGATCTCAGCGTAAGCTTGTGTGTCCTCGCTTTAACTCTTTTCCTATTTCCAATCCTTTCTAACTGATCCTATTTGTTTTTCAATTACATTCTATCATATTCTCTTCTAATGCTTTCTTTAAATTTTTATAAAATTTTGCCATCCTTCCTTATTACAATAGATGTTTGGCCTACTTCCCAATTCCACCTCATTTAGGTAGAGATCGAAAAAGTTTACCTTCGCATCTTTATCCCACATAGTAGAAGATCTGATTTCTTTTTCCCTACTCATCACCACTACTAGCATGAAAAGAAATAATCAACATAATTTTTTACAAACAATAACTTGAACTCATCAAAATATAAATTAACCAAAAAAAATAATCCACAACTCTCCAACCCCTTTCTCCACATAACACAAAAGTGATAATAATCACATTTGAAAGCCCACAACAAGCAAGGTAACAGAAAGTAAACATCTGAAAGCCCATATCTAACAAGATAACAAAAAATAAACATCTAAAATCTACATACCAATATGCTCTCTGTCAACTCTTTTTTTCCATACTCAAATGTCACTAGCCCCAATTTCTTTAAGCATTTCAATTCAGAGTATACTTATATATACAAACAAAGAACCTTGTGAAAGTTTTATTAGAACAAAATCGACATTGCATTTAATTAATTGTACCCAAATCGCGAATGTCAGCTGGTAAAGCTCTATAGAACCACAAAATAATTTTTAAAATGTCCTATCATATGTATAATAATCACCTCTAATGAATCATCTTGAACTCATGTTCATAACCAGATGCCACATAATCATCTACCATGACTACATGATCGGTCAATGCCATAAACCCTAAACCCGAATTTTTGAATCGATTGAAGCATCCAATAAAGCAAAGACATAGACTACAAAGCTGAAACTACTCCATGGACCAATCTCGCATAGCTCAAGAGCAATTGCACATGTATTAGCAACATCCCATACACAAATTCCTTCCGATAGTCCCCCGATTACCAAAGACAGAAACCACAAACATAGAACAAACCGCCAAGAATACACCATCAATCATGGCCCTCAAAGGAATACACCATCAATCACACCCTCAATTTCATTAAACTTTAATCAAGCAAGTTCACTAGAAAAAATGAATTAGGTTCCACGCTTCATCCAAAAACAACTCAAGTAGCCCTGCTAACTATGATCATGATTGAAAAATGTTTAACGCAACTTATATCAGGAAGATTTCAATACATACCACTCAATTTTTATGTATTTGTCATCTCTAACAAAGAAGCTATATATCTTCTAATTTTAAACATTCTTCAAGCTCTAGAGGTGAGATCAAAAGTTGGAGCTTATCATATAATTCCCACTAATTTCAACAAGAGATATCCTAAAATCTCTTAAAATGATCTTTGATGAGGCTTATATTCACAATACATACCAATCCCTAAAAGAAAAATTCCTCCAAACTTCACAAAAAAATTGAAGACCATCGCAGAAAAATTTTCTCCAAACTTCACGAAATTTCTCCAACATAGAACAAAGCTCGGTAACCACAAAATAAATTGAAGGTCATCACAGGAAAATCGAAGAGCATCACAGAAAAAATCAAATGCCATCATAGAAAACATTCATCGATATGAGTGCTTCTATCATTTAAAAAAAAAAAAAAAAAAAAAACAAAGAACAAACCCCAGTGAAACAGAAACCACAAACCGCACAGAACAAAACTGTAAAGTTAAAGAATAGAAGGCACCATCAGACAAAAGAAAGCAAAGGAAGAAATAGCAGGGATCAAGCTCTCGCCACAAGTACCTGAGTACAAAGGAAACCGAAGGCGGAAAAAACCCTAATCTCGATCGCTTATCACTCAAGCCACCATTGGCAGCGATGCCATTTCCTTCGAACGAAACTACAAAACGTGGATCCGTGACGACAGCTGCAAACCTCAAGTGCATTTAATAAAACACACCCATGCTGTCGAAACCAAATGCATTTGATGGTGCTTTCATACTATACTGTAGCAAATAAACTACCCCAAATAGACCCATAGAGTGTTTGAAAATCAGCCAATACCCAATTTTGAAATGCAGAATGGATTTAAAATTCACCAAAATTCTAACCTGCATTGTTTTTTTCATTTGTTCATTCAACCACACCCAAATTTTTAAAATCCCAACATTGGTTTACTTTACCCCAGAAATGCTGGGAACCAAACAGCCCCCAAGTCAGGACTAAAAATGAGAAGCATCAATATAAATAATTACCAGAACTTATTGATAATTACGTAGTGCAAAGATGATCACATACAATACAATGCAACCTTCTGCATTTCACAACAATGTCTTTTCTTATTTTTCTGCTCCCATTCTTATTCTAAATTGCAGAAATGTAAGTTGTTGGGCCAAGTGGTAAATTGATTGAAGTCAATGAATGCGGAGAAATCACAATATTCATTTCTGTTCCTGCATTTGGCAAAAAATTCTCTACTGGAAATACCTGCATCATAAATATTATCACCTCAGCTTATGATAGATTGTTGGCATTAAAATCAACAGAATTTTCTACTGCTCGTCCCCTAAAAACTAGGAAGTTTCAGTTAGAGAAGCATGAAATAATGCAGACAACATAAAGCTTCGTAACATATAAACTTGGAGCATAGATTAATATTATCAATATGTTGAAATGTCTCATCTGGGATTAATTTCTTTTGAATACACCACAATCATCAACAATAATAGAAGAAAAGAAAAGAAAAGAAAATGGAAAGCAAAGGAATATTTACATGCTTGCCATACAATTACAATGTATTTACCTATATAACAGATGTTGCCTATGCATGAAAAGGTGTATTTCCCTCTTTAAAAAATAGTGAAAATGGTATTTTGGATGTGATATGGAAGATTTGAGTGCTATACATGAAAAAATCAAAGTTTAGGCGTTAGTTATGTAAATTCATGAGAATTGTGTTGTATGTATGTAAATGCTCCCAAAAAATACGATTCATGTAGCCGACCCCACCCAGTGGGATTAAGGCTTTGTTGTTGTTGTTGTATAAGGAAAGTATGGCAAGCCATGATCATCCGTCATACAAGAGAAAATATTAAAAATGCTTAAATTTACCTTATTAGGTACATCGAAAGAATTCTCATCCATCACATTGCTGGAGGTAAGTACTGTTATTGATGATTGGGACGAATTGATTGTTCCTTGCAATCCAGTTATAGAGATCTTAAAATTCACCGGGTTGCTCCCGAAGTTAACAATCTTCATTAAAAAACAATTAATTAAAAAAAATTCTAAAATAAAAGTAAAGTTAATAAACTGATAATATAGTAATTGGAATCTGTAATAAAGAATAAATTTATAGGGATGGAAAGAAAGCGAGGAATAATAAAACCAACAGCAAATTGTTTAAAATAATGAGGATGTTGATGACGACAAATAGAGAACAAATTTAAGTATTAGGAGGTTTTTGTATTGATTAAGAAGCTTTATAAGTCATCATAAATGCCTCAATATAATGAAATACAACAATAGTATTTCTGCTTAAATTCTGGTTACAATTATCAATATTTGACACCTGTATTATAATTATAAAGGAATGGCCGTAGGCTATTATACAAGCCCTGACCATCCCTCATGCGCCTAAGATTTGGAGCAACACACCCTACACTGGGGGGGGGAATTGAATCCTAGACAAGAGGGAACTTACAACCGACAAGCAGATGCTCGACCAACTAATCTGAGTACGCCGCGCGCGCGCGCGCTGGCGCACACACACACACACACATATATATATATACCCCACACAAACACAAATTCCTTGAGTATTTTATTTTAGTTTTTTTGCATGTAACAACAAATTAGAAATTCAAAACATTACAAAGAAATGATTACAGAACATGAATAAATTATCATAACATAAGTGGGATATTCAAAGGAGCTGACCTTTATTTTTATGATTTTAATATTTTCTTCCAAGTTCTCCCAAAGAATTGCAGAAGAAATCAAAGAACCTGAAGAATCAGCTTGGATTGTGGAGGGATAGTAAATTGCTCCACTCGATTCCTTGAAAATCTGTTGCACCCAATAACTTGGTGTTCCATACTGCTGCCATGAATTAAAGACTATAGCATCTGGATTCCACCTGTGTTGTATAGAAAATATGAGCTGAAGTAATTTACTTCGCTTGTGGAGATGAATAATCTGGATATCAGGAGCCTAACAAAAGAAAACTATATTTTCCATAAAATATTTAATAAAACTTAGATTTCATAGTGACACGTACCGCCGATCATTGACATTGACGAAAAGAGGAGCATAACTTGCCATTTCAACAACATCGCTGTTCAAGAAAAAGCATCCCATCAGCCAATTCTCAAAGTAAGAAGTTTTGAAAATAAGTCTGAACTAGGGCTGATGCAAAGTCAAAATATAAAAAAATTGATTTTATTGGATATGCAGCAATGAAAAATGAAAATCAAATTTATATTTCTAAGAAATTTGAATTGAATCAAATATTTCGAGCTAGCCTAGGAAACTATTAATGAACTCAAATTATTTTAAACTGCACATGTAGACAAGAACTCTACCCAATTTTTTTACAGTTCAAACTAAGATTAAAGTAATTTTTTAGTTTTAATTAGGAAGATTCACATACATACCAGGCAACTCTTTTGTAATATATATCTAACACGTAGACTTCAATTTTTACGTACATGCCACCTTACCTATGTATGAAAAGGTGTATTTCACTTTTTAAAAGTTAAAATGGTGTTATGTTTTATGTGATATGAAAGATTTGGTTCGTAAAAATTTAAAACGTAAAATTTAGGCGTTAGATATGTAAATACATAAGAATTGGGTGGTTCGTGCATAAATGCCCCATTCAATTATTTCTACCAGCGCTAACCTGAACGTGCATGCTACTAATCTGTGCATTAAAAGGAGTACAAGTTGCTTTCTTTCCTAATCATAAACCACTAAAAAAAACTTGTCTGTAATAATATTACAATCACTTGATTAAAAAAATTTAGGAAAAAGATGAGAAATTTAAATAAGAATTAACCAGAAAAAACGTCAATGCAGTCTCATATTACTGAGAATTCATAAAGGTACCTGTTCCTTTCCAGTCCAATAAGGAATCCAGCTTCACCCAAAGCAGCTAGAAGGCTTCCTTTGCCGGCATCAGATCCAGTCACAGCATACTCACTAACAAAAGCCTAAAATTGCATCAATATGTAATGAATTAGTATATTTACACTATCAACCATGGCCTCAATGTTCATGAAGCATTTTATAAATCATAATTTTCAAACCTTGGGGCCAGAGCGACATGTGTGATCAAATTGCTTTGACATTGAAAACAAATTGTTTGAGGACGTGTAAATCTACCAAAAATCGATGCTTTTAGAGATTTTCATATAAAACTGGAGGAGAAGCTAAGCTAAATTCTGGCATTAGAATTGCTTGAACATACATGGAAATCATACATATCAGCAGGATGGTCTAATGGAGTCGATGAGCCATCACAGTTGGTAATGATTTTAATATCTGGATAAGCAGCTTTGATGGCATAGTAGAATTTCAGGTAGTTTCCTGTCAAATGATATAGATGTTAGATGTTTCCTGAGCCTTCATTTCATTCCATAATCTAGTACAGTTAATCAATTCTAAAATAATCAGTAAGTCAAGAAACAATGAATCAAGAATATAAAAGTATACATAAATGAAAAAAAGTGATTTGAAAAAAAGGAATCAACTGTTTTAAATTGGAAGCATACACAGTGGCTTGCAAAAAAAGATAACTAGTATATGTCAAGCATTGGCAGAGCCAAGTACATTTATTAAAATAGGCAATAAATTAACTTTACTATTGGAAGAGGCCACAAATTAATTCTTTTACATTTCAAAACATCAAATAAAAGAAATTTATTAATAAATTACATATAAAGACATCAGAAATTGGAGGATAGGGGGGCTCGTGCCTTCACATGCCCCTCTCACGAGCCCCTCTCTAAATCTGCCCTTAATGTCAAGTCTGTAAAGTGTAACCTTACGGAACTGCATTTGTTGCAAGAGAAAATAACAGCAGGGATTTACAATTTCTTTGCGCACACTTTAAACCATTATTAACACAAACATAAAAAAATATATATAGATATAATAAAATAAAACAAATTCACATAAAAAACCATACTAGTGTGCAACTCATTGTAATTTGTAGCAACTCAGCCCTTTTTTTATTGTTTACAAGGAAGTTGGAACAACTCAAATGTGAATATAGACTACATGAAATTAAGACAACATAGTATCTAAAGCATTAGCGCATTATACAAAAATGAGTATATAAATATCATATATTAAGCTATTGAAAACTAATGATTGTTTAAGACGCAAATACCAAATCGTAGGGATAAGAGTGATAATGATGATGATAAAGAAAAATGGCAAGAGTACGAAAACAAGGATACCTAGGTAATTTTTTTTCCCGCAGTCTTCATTACCAACTGCCACATATTTCAGTTCAAAAGGTTCTGGATGTCCCATTGCAGTTCGACGTGAGCCCCATGTTGAGTTGGGAGAACCCCTTGCAAACTCAATACTATCAAGTGTATCCTACACAAAACCAACAATTTATAAAGAACCAAATAGGTAATCCAAATTATAAAACCAGAAAAGAAAAGGTTCAACGAAAGCCAAAAAAGATCAAAAATATCAACCATGTATAGATTTTAGAGAATCAATTTGATTTCATATAAAAAATATTCAATGAAAGTAAATTTTGTGTTGAGACAATTAAAAAAATTAGAATGAAATAAAAGAATTTTGATATGATTCTTATGAATACTGAGAGAGCATATGATTGAGTGCCATGATATTAATGAAAACAAGTGTGTCGAAGGTACGCTGAAATTTTTAAAGATGTAATGTTAAGCTATTGAATGGTGTTAAATCTAGTTTAGGAGTTATGAAAGAATTTTTAATCAAGATAAGATTTTGTCAAGGATCATCAATATTGGGAGAGATATGATGAATTGCGGAAACAAATTCAAGAAATCCAAGGCAAAAAACTTTGTACATAAGTGTATAAAATATGAAAATCACAACAAGAACAAGATTTGACTCGGAAAAACCCGAGAACGGAAAAAAACCACGAAGCCACATCACAACAAGTAATTCACTATGAAGGAAATGAGGAGAATAGTACAAATCACACCATACTCAAGCCTCTCTACACTTTGGAAACTCTAGAACACTCCACTCCCCTCTCGTACATAAGAGAAAATCAAAATCTCATACACTTCCAATCGACAAAATACTAAGTAGAGAACTGCTCAAATTCAGTTACTGGTATCAGGGCGCAGCGATAGTGGCATTTTACGCTCCAATGGGCGTTGGAGCGCTAACTTTCGAGCACTTCAGTGCATGCTCTCGGGTTACTGGGCCCAACAACGCTATTTATGGGTGTCAAGGCCTTGTTGGTCTTGGCATGGGGCCCTAAGAACAAAAAAATATGGCATGGGGCCCTAAGAACAAAAAATAAATAATAATCGCGACAAACTTACCGTCAAGCTTGGTCGACAAAATTAAGGGCTCTTAGTGAACAATGATTAATACAATCAGGCTCCACATAATAACAACCATTCAGTTCATTTCTTTTTCTATTGATTATGGAGAGCTATTAAAATTATATATGGAGTGAGGTGCTTTGTAATAACATAATTTTAATTGGTGAATGTCAGTTGCAATAAGTGAAATGCTAGAAAAATATAAAAGAGATTATAAGAGAAAGGACTTAGGAATGGTTGACAATGATTTAGTATATAATACTTAATTGTAATGGGTGTAAAATTAACAATAATTAATTTAAATTATTAGAAAATAAAATGATACCAAGAAGCGATACGTCCAACCACCTTGAATTTTTCATCTATTTAATGGAAGATTAAATCTAATACTCTTACGTGCTTTAGCAAAAAAGATAAAGTCTTTTCAAAGCTAGTTTTCAAAGTTTCTCTAAGCTTTCTAAGCACTAGTTGTTTTCTAGTTTTGATGAGCCTAACAATTTCAATCTTTTTGTTAGCTTAGAGCATGTTTGGGACGAATTTTATTATTATTATTATTATTTGTTTTTTCTTTTATTTTTAAGAACATGTTTGCTTATTGTGCTTTTTTACATCTTTTTTATTTTTTATTTCTAAAAATAAATTAACATATTTTTAAAAATACTCAAAATAATTTTTAGATTTTTTACTGGTTTTAAAAATAATTATACTTTAATCAAATAGCCTAAAATATTTTGTTTCAAATCAAAACATAATTAAAAAATAAAATAAAAAAAAATATAAAAGTGATCCCAAATGGCCTCTTAGGGATTCGAGTTCACTTCAATTGTTTTGTGTATGTTGATTATATGATCACTGAACTTCTCTAAATTTACTGGATTACTGGTGAGCTCTTATATTTATCCGTTTAAATCTTGAAATGTTTTTTATCTTCATGAAGGGAAAAAAAAAAAATGCTACAGTACACAGCTATATTTGCATGGGCAAAATAGTTCCAAGGATATAAGAGTGTCTGAGAAAAGAAACGCTAAATTGAAAGTCATAATTCTACATACAAATAATTCATTCGAAAGCCTGAACTCTTGTCAACTACCATAGTACAAATGTAAACTTGAGTTGAAACCATGCCTGAACAAAAGCTAAGATGTTTGGAGTAGCAACTTGATCGTTGTGGCTAACCCCTGAAAAATAAAGAAGGAAGATTTACACAAATACCACTCAATTCATATTCATATATATATCTAACAACTAAACTTCAATTTTTACATACATACCGCCTTACCTATGTACGAAATGGTGTGTTTCACTTTTTTTAAGTAAAATGGAGGCATATTTTATGTGATAGGAAAGATTTAGGCGGTGTAAATGTAAAATGCAAAGTTTAGGAGTTACATCTGTAAATACATAAAAATTGGGTGGCAATGAAGAAAACAGACAACATAAAATATTGAGTCAAAATCAAATACGTAATTTCAACTGATCCAAACTCTCAAAATAAAAATACCATTGTTGACCACCCACACAGGCGAAGCACCCAGGTCTTCTGCAAGCTGTATTTAACAAACAACAAAACAAAGTTCAGAATTACAGGTATTAAACTTTGGCTTGTGAACGAAAAATCAGGCCAAAAAAATGGAGTACTTGAAGAAACTCGTAGTATCCAAGCCCTTCATCGGTCCAATACATCCAGACATCGCCAAAGTGGCCAGACCTTTCCTCCCAGGGAACCAAGGTTTCTTTCCACCTGAATGCATTTCTGAGCCATTCACCTTCCACAAAGCAGCCACCTGGATATGATAAAGTGAAAAAGTTAATTCTCATAGAAGCCCAAGCCGAATAATTGTTGGAAAATAGGCAAAAGCAAGTGTTGTGAGTGTTTTTAAAAACAACCATACTCACTTTTGATTTTCGTTTTTTATCTTTATTTTGTTTTTTTTTCTATGCTTTGATTTAAAGCAATATATGTTTGATATGATATAACATATTTAATAATTTTTAAAAACACTAAAAAAAAATTCTAGATGTATTGAGTGGTTTTAAAAACAAGCTAGATTGTTTTTATAAAAAAATAAAACATAAAAAATGCACTAAAAATATATATTTTTAAAATAAAATCAAAAACAAAAAATAAAAGCAATCCCAAAAATGATCAAATAACCAAACATTTTTTCCTTCAAATCAAATAAAAAAAAATATAATAATAATAACAAAAAAAAAGAAAATATAAAACAAAGGTGCTCCCAAATTGAACAAATATATTGAGCAAGAAAATTGAAAATAAAAAGCGTCAACAAGCGAAAAATATTATACAAGTGGGAAGGCAAAATAAGAATTTTTTTTTCAAAATATTCTTAATAAAATAAATAAAAATATAAGATACCACTTTAACCAAGGGCTAAATTTTGGTAGCATATTTTGCAAAAAGGTGGTTGCAGAAATTAACACAATTGACATCACCATAGTGCTTTGAATGCATGCAAGAAAAAAAAAAAGTTGATAACATGAAAAGAACATAAACCAATAGTACAGCTGTAGATCAAGCTCAAATATTCATAGAAAAAATGGATACATAAAAACGTGGGAAACCATATATCAATCAGGAGTAAATGAAATCAGACATAATAAAGAGTTTTCTTCTTCGCAATGCTGCAAAGAAAGAAATATTATATTTGCATGAATTCTTTCCTTTTAGCTGAATATTTAAATTAGGAATATGTATTAATTAAACTACCTTAAAGAGATTATACAGAATATTATGTACCTAAAATAGATTTTACAGACTATTATTTATTGGAATGAAAGTAAAGGAAAGACATTCAACCTATTTGCTCAAAATATTAACATGGTATCAGAGCTTAAATTGGTCTGAATCCTGGATACTTGATATTCTTTAGCTTTTGTTATCGTTCGCCGACATCATCGACTGCTTTCAAGGTCCTCGCCAGGAGCGCTCGTTTTTGTCCTTATTTGAGTTATGCAGCATCTTCGTCCACTGTTGTCGGAGTCCAAGGAAACCCGCTGCTCCTCTGCCTAGTTGGATCCACTTTGTCGCAATCCTCTCTGCTTCGATCGCGACAACCGCTGCTCCTATGCCTTGGTTGATTTTCTTTTATTTTTTTTGGATCTCTTGGTTTTTCCTTGGCTTTGGACTCCTTTCCTAATTTAAGGCAGTGCACGATTTTTTAGATTGATTTGGATCAACGATTTGGATTTTTGGATATTTTGGCATTCTTCGATTTCTGGTTAATTTCGATCAACGACAATTCTAGTTAGAATGTCTTCTAAAACCTTAACTATCATATTTACGGGAAAGAATTATGTCGCATGAAAATTTCAGCTCAGAATGTTCTTAAAAGGGAAGGAGCTTTGGACTCATATTGATGGGTCTTCTCCAGCTCTTACTGAAGCAAAAAATCTTGATCAATGGGAAACAAAGGATGCTCAGATTGTTTCCTGAATTTTGGGATCTAATGAGGCTCATATGGTGAACAATTTAAGATCCTTTGGCGCAGCTAAAGAAATGTGGGAATGCTTGAAGCGCGTTTACAATCAAGATAATTCTGCGAAATGCTTTCAATTAGAACTTTACATGAGTAATTATAGTCAGGGTAATATTTCAATTGAACAATATTATTCTGGCTTTCTAAATTTATGGAGCGAATATACTGACATTATCTATGCTAAGGCGACAAAGGAGAACTTAGCTAGTCTTTAGGCTATTTATGAAGAAAGTCGCCGTGATCAGTTTTTAATGAAGCTCAGACCTGAATTTGAAACTGCTTGAGCTGGTTTGCTGAACAGAGATCTGGTTCCTTGTTTGGATATTTGTTTCGGTGAATTACTACGCAAAGAACAAAGATTGACGACACAAACTGCTACTAGTACAAAAGGTGGATCAGGTGGATCATTACAAAAGGTGGATCATTAGAAATAATTAATATGACATATGCTGCTCAGACCAAATGGAAGGCATCAGTGCAATGCTACAACTGCAAGAAATTTGGTCATATAACATAGAATTGTAAAAATAAGTGATGAAATTATTGCAAGCAAAAGGGACATA